GAAACCTGGTCCTCATACAACTGTTTCCTACGGACTAAGTATCTGGCAGCATGTAGTTAGTTGGACAGGAGTGAGTCTTCATTTGTGTGCAGCACTTTACAATTTAACAACGTTCCTTCTTTACCTATCGTGAGCTTCTTAACCCTGTACAGTAACAAAAATAGACAGCTTCAGCATTTTCAAACTGAAATTGCAGCTCAAAATAATTCAGGGATTTGCTCAAAGTCATAGTCTACAAGGAGAGATCCAAATTTAGAAGCTAGATCTTATGAGTCTTGGGAACTCACAGCAACACTCGCAGAGAACAGGGCCATCCACTGAAATCCACAAGCAATAGCCTGGAGGAATGGTATCTCTATGGTTCAGGTGATGACAAGGAGGGGACCAGCACATTCAGACAACTTCCTATCAGGTGAGTCACAGCTGTTTGTACTTGAAGCTAGCAGGGCCCACAACAAAGTGCTCTAATCCTTTTCGGCCTGAGTTTGCTGTTGTGCAGGATCAGCTTTGGGAAACACAAATGCTGAACCCTCACCAATTGACTCAGGCCATGAATCACCACAGTTGTACGGTTCATTTGAAGTCAAAATTACATAAACCAGAAAAATTGCCTTCACTTTACAGTGTATTTGTGTTTATATATACTTATATGCCCGACACTCACAGAAGCACAAAAATTCACAGTTCGCAGTTGTCTCATGAGCTTTGCCTGTTCTGTTTCTTGGGCCATAAATGACAACAAACAGTGTAATTCACAGGTGCATAACCATCCTTTAGGAAAATGTATATAAAATGCCATAAACCAAATGAAATACAGCATGGTGAACTCCATTCTTTACCACATATATTTAATGACGGGTTTTATGGGCAATGGATGATCCTTAAAGTATTAGTGAAAGCCAATAAATTTTGATTACCTTTAGTGACTTAGCTACAGAGAAAGGAACGCTCATAATTGTCACAGACTCTCACTGCAGGCCCACAAAGTTTGTTTTCAAATAGAGAATTATAAGTAGTAAAAAAAAAAAATCAAGTATTGTGCCAGAAGTTTGTTTGAGTGTTGACACTTTCTTAGTGAATGTAGGTGTTCCAGATGCCTTATGGAAGAGGAGTCATGTTTTTGCTTGAGTTTGAGCAAGATTTATTACATCTTATGGTCAAATAATCCCATCCTTTTTTGTTGTTTCTTTTCCTCCTCCTAGCACAAAAATAAACAGGTAAATAAACACCTAAAATTTAGGAAAACAAGAACCAAGGATCATTCATGTTGTCACTTAGTTTCCTTCATAATCTCATGTACTTATTAGATATGTTTTCACTTAAACAGGGATAATATTATCATCATAAAAATAGTGTAATATCCCTCAAACAACAAAGAGGAATGGAATTATGATTACCAGTTCAATATCTCAATTTTAGAATAATTACAATCAATTGCTGGGTAGACCCTACATTTTACCATATAATGACTATATTTAACTTCATACGCGTTTGCATGTGAGCAAAGAATCTTCATGAGCAGCTGCACAATAATAAGAATGTTTTCTGCATCCTCTGTCATTGTTGGAGATCTAGCACCCTATCAATATCTTTCCAGCCATATGCTGTTAATACTGATAAGATTTTCACCGATGTCATTAAAACTTCACAATCTGAAATTTTGGTGGAGGTCAACCTATTTCCAATTGTCTTTGATTTATCTAGAGATGCACACGTGTTTCAATTCATCAAGATGAAACAACAGTAGATGTCTGCTCTCAGGGTAAAAGGTGAGAAAGACAAGAACTAGAAAATCTTCTAACAACTGATGAAACCCCTTATTTAAACAGGTAGCAATGAAAGAGTTGGGTTTTGTTGACTAACAAATCAAACAGTAAATAAAAAACACTTGAGTCTGCATCATGAGTAAAATTCCCGAGATACGTATATGTCACATGCTTTCTATGCCACACAGTCTAAAAGCCCTTCAGATCCACTCTATCTAGATGGGAACTCCAGGCTCTGCATCATTGCTGCACTACAGCTCTGTGGACCATACTTTGGTTGCTTGACTTTGGAATGGAAGTGATGCTGTGTTTCTCATCAGGTACTTGTAAAAGTTTTAATGAAGACCTGAATTCTCCTCCAAGTAGCAACCAGGATAGGTGTGTGTGTGTCAGGCTATTCTATCCTTCAAGTTAGGTCATAATTCTACTGTTTTCATGGTTTTCAAAGAGATAGAAATTACAGAGTAGGACTGCAAGGTTACTACCTCCCTAACACCATGCACAGTTGTACCAAAGATTACATTGCACAAAAATAATTGTCAGTTCAGAGATTCCTACAGAAACTCTTATTTTATGCAAACAAGAAGGTGAATGTTTTGGAGACACACCAGTTAAGCTCTGATGATGGACCATCAGAACTACAAGACTCCTTTGTCTCCTATTGCCATTTCAGATTATTCAGGGCCACACACTCACTAAGAGAGGATGTTTCTCTTCTTGCCATTTCACTTTCTCAGTGCCAAACATCTACTGTGACTGCCAATGAACCCAGTTCTCCTTCCTCTCCTCCCCTGGAAGCTCACACTCCCAGCAAAATGTCACAAAGAGAGTGGAAGCATGCCTTTCCCAGGCTAGACTTGCAAACAGAAAGTTACAGCCTATTCTTCACCAGGAAACTGCCCCACAAAGCAGACAGGATTCAGTTAAAGAGATTGAGAAGAAGGTCAGCTAAGAAAACAAAGGTAACTCTCTCCATAGTTACTTCTGATAGAGCTCCACCAACCTCAGAAATAAAGCCTTGTCTGAATCAAAGAACATAAGGGAAAAAAGAGGGCATGTTAGGTGAGGACTGAAGAAGCAAAGGAGTCCCATAGGTGCCCTATTTGCATGCAGTTTGTCTGTTTTCCCTTTCCCTGGGAATAAACGGTGCTGCATTTGTTACCTTTTCTCACATCCTCCATTTCCATACTGTAAGATCTGATAAACTGTGGTAATTAAAAGACAAAACTCCATTTCTTTTGAGTCATTATGATGCAAAAGCACATACACAGCATATACAGTTATTTAGGTAAAGAGATTGCATCTCCCACATATAGACTTCTTACATTGCATGAAAGTGTCAGAATCCATTTATTCTTCTGATTAACATGTGCATGCGTCTTTGACTCTTAGATACATATACCTTAGAATGCAGGTATTGACTTGCAAAGACATCACAAACTTTTCAATCATTTCAATCAAAAGTTTAGATACATTTAGAGTAAACGCAGTTTTCACCTTCAATCCTGTAATCTGGAAAAAAATTGACTTCTAAAATAAGCACAAACACACAGTTTTGCTGCTAGTAAAGGGTTAATGATGTTAGGGAATACGATTGCCAGCAGCTGAGACGGCGTGCTTGTGTGTTTGCAAAAATATTTTCTGCGTTATGTCCAAATCCCTTAGCAAACAGATAAATTACTCCATAAATCGTCTTACTCCGTGTGGATAAATCACACATACAGGTTTACAAAGCTGGAGAGCTATGAGGGGAAGTCTCTGGCTGGGGAGGGGGACTTGGGATTCATAATCACCCACAGCTCAGAACGTGAAGACGGAAAGGCCCACATACTATCGTGTGCTTACGTTTTACCATCTGGAGCAGCATATGTACATACAACACACATATAACACACACCATACCACACCACACACGCTTTCATCTCTAACAAGGCTAGAGATCCCAGAGCAGGACATTCTGTGACAGCCAACCAAATTTATTTCTGGGAAAAGAACAGAAAACTTTGCTGCTGTCGGCAGCTCTGCCAGGGAACTGCTCCCTGATGCCCCGGGCTTTATGCACTATCAGCCCCTTTCACACAGATTAGAGGTTGATTTCCTACGGCATACCGTTTTTTATGGCCACAACCAGCAATATTACCTACATAGACAGACCAACACTGGCTCATTAGATTTGGAGGAAATGAGTTTTTAAAAGATCTCCAAGGAAAATAATTTCTTCTCCCCCGACTCTCTATTATTATCTGCCAGAGAGTCAAGTAAAGCTGGGGAGGGGGAAGGTAGAAGAGAAACATAGGAAAGACACTGTGGGCTTTAAGGTAATAGAGTAATGACGAAGTAACATCCAAATCTCTCTACCTTAGAAGGGTCAAACTCTCAAGGACTTGGGATGCTTTTTTCAAATTTCCATCCCAAATTATGTTGCAGAGCTTGGCAGCCCTACATAGGAATAAGACTTTGAAGTTAATAGTTAATTTGTGGTATCTAGGTAATGCCGGGTTAATGCCTTCTTCACCTCTGTTTAAGTTTTCTATTCTTAAGGGCCTGCCATTAAGCTAGATCCGTTTTTTTCTCCCCTTTTCTTCATTCTTGTGTTGATTTCTATTCACATTTCCAAAAAGCCTCAGTAATCATCCAAAGTTGTAAGATTGATTTATTGCCTACAATGTCAATTCAGAGATCTTTACAGAAAGTCTTCTATCAGAACTACTGCTCGGGCGGACTGAGAGCTTTGCTGAGCAACACCACACACACACACACACACACACACACACACACACACACACACACACAGGGACAAGGAGAATGCAGCCTTGTGTACCACTCTTTGAGAGCCATAACTCAACTACTCTTGTTCCTGAATCGAGGAGCCTCAACAAAACTCTAAGAGCAAAGCGCGAGCAATTACCACAGCATGAATACAGCCCATTGCCACTAATGCCATAGATGAAGTTCAGCTTTCTTGACTAGAGCAAACGACGAAGTGAAAAACATTCCACCAGCACCGTTCCTTCTTGACAGGGATCAGATTCCCTTGAATTTTGTTCCCAGCTAAGTCTTCAAGTCAATGCAAGGAACACACACACATACATACACACATGCATACATCCCACAACCCTGCAACCCCAGGGCACTAGGAGTTCAAGATCACACACACACACACACACACACACACACACACACACACACACACACTGACACAGACGCAGCAGAAAAGTTGCCCGCAAGCCCTACCTGAGGATGGCTGTGTCCCCCTGCCTCACGGTGATGTTGTCCGTGCCTCGGTTAAAATCCACGCTGCGAACGGGCAGTCCTGTGGGAAGAAGGCAGAGCAGTCTCAGTAGGACCAGCGGCAACTGTTTCCGATCGGCCTGAACTCTCCCGACCATGGTGGCCTCGGTGAGTTGGTCCGCGGTGGACTCCCGTGTGCGCGCTGCTGGCCACGGAGAGGGGCTCTAGCGCGTGGGGCTTGCAGCCACTGCCAAGGCAGCTCGGGCGGGTCCAGCGCGCACTCCCTTCCACTTTGCCTCGCTCTTTCCCTTGCTCAGTCTCTTTCCCCTCTGAGACTTAACAAAGCCCTCATCAAATCCAAGCAGGGTGGGTGGGGGGAGAAAGTGGAAGAACAAATTTTCCGAAGGAAGAGTGCAAATATAAAACGCTTAATGATGAGGAGGCGACTGTCAACGGCAGGGGTGCTTCCTTGGACTCTCTGTGGCTGGCTGCTTCTCTGCCAGCGTCTGGGCTGAGCTCCTTCACTCTGTAACCCACTTTCCCAGGCAGCAGGAGAGCTTGCCAGCGAGAGTAAAGAAACAGCCTCTCGCAGCAGCAGCAGCGGCAGCAACCCAGGAGCTCTCGCCCCCTCCTCCCTTTCCTGTTTCTCCCTCCAGTCCCTGGCCTGTTCTCTCTTCACTCAGCACCTCCCCCCTACCCTGCTGGTTTTCAACAGCCCCGCCGCGTCATCCCCCTCCTCCCTTCCCTCAGCGTAGCCCCTTGCTTTGCACAACTGCCCCCTTCAACAGCAGCCAGCCTCAATGAAAGCCTGATGCGCCTTTGGGTTGTCAGGACAACAGCTCCATCTGAGGCCTGGCTGATTTCCTTAAGAAGAGGGGATGGGGCACAGAGGTACTGTTCAAGACAGGGGATAAGGAGGTGGACTCAAGCTAGAAAAGGGCAAGAGAAAGAGTACAGGGAAGAAGGGGGAAAGCGGGGCAGGAGAGAGATACAACCTTGACAAATGAAGCTACACATGCATGGTTGGAAGGCATGCTACGGAAGGGACCAGCAAGATGAAAAAATAGAGAAGAAACTCCCAGATTGAAAGCCAAAGTTAATTTCACTGTCCTGGCAAATGGCTTTCCATATTTACGTGGTATTCACCCTTTCTCCTCTCCTGAAGAATTTAAGGTTTATTTTCTCTCCCCACTTCATCCCCCTCCCCGTCTTAGAGCCCCTTTAGGAAAGATGGACTGCAGACAATGCTGGTATTGAGTGGTCTAGGGTGTGAATGCTTGGCTTGTCTTTCCTAAGTGCCAGCCTCAGCAGCTGATCCTTGATCCCCAAATCCAACCTCACTCTCCAGGAAAGCCACAGGCAGACACATGAGTGATGGGTTGTGGGATTGTTGCTCAAATGGTACATTGCAGTTAATGCACCAGTTTCTAAAGCCACTCACTTCTCAACATGTCCTTAGACAAGGAAGTAGATCAGAAAGTTTGTCATTTACAAGGGATCCGAGTCTACAGACAGCACTCTGGGGACAGCAGACACTAAACAGGTGCAGCTCTCGTCATTTGTCAACTCCTGCACAGTGACCCTACCAAGTGGTGAGGTCCCAAACACCTTTGTCACTCGGGTGGGGGTTTCAAATACCAGACATCTCCCTCAGCCCTGATGTGGAGATGAAAGAAGAGATTAGGTGAGCCAAAGACTTTTTGAATAATTTCCCCCCCCCTCTCTTTCTTCCTTGTCTCTCTCCCACCCTTCATGCAACCCAGGCATTCCCAGAGTACAAAAACCAAAGTTATAACAACAACAACAACAAAAAAAAACTACAGAACAAATTATAGTCAGTTTCCTACTGCTGACATTACAAGACTCCAAATACTTGGAGGTTCTTGTATAAGAAGGCCAGACAACTATCAAAGGATGTAAAAGGAGGAGAAAATATTTAGTCTTTTTCAGGATTTGAACAAACAAACCACCCACGGACCCCTAGAATTCTGTTGGTTTCCTTTTGGCTTCTTGGCACCAGCAAAGCCTTTGAATTTCAGCTGTTTGCACTGTAATAGTAAGGAAAGGAATCAAGGGGAACTGTAAAGCCTCAACAAAAGGTGAGTTCTGAGTCATCACTGTGATTCCTCCACATCTGTTAGAGGAGACATCAGATGGCAAAGTTCCATTTGCTCTTTCTCCATTCTGGACCATTTTTTGGTCATAAATACCTCATGCATACACAAATTCTCTGCCTCTCTCCTCTCTCTCTGTCTCTCTGTCTCTCTGTCTCTCTCTCTCTCTCTCTCTCTCACACACACACACACACACACACTCCTCTTATTTTCATGATGTCTTAGTCAGGGTTTCTATTGCTGTGATAAAACATGGCCAAAAGCAACTTGGGGAAGGAAGTCTGTATTTGGCTGGCTTACACTTCACCTGACCGGCCATCATCAAAGGGAACCAGAGAAGAAACTAAAGGCAGGACCTTGAGGTGGGAACTGGAGCGTCTTTTGGCTTGTTCAGTCTGATTTTTATACAACCTGGGTACACCTGCCTAGGGGCAGTACTGCCCATAGTGGCCTGGGACCTCCTAAACCAGTCAATCATTAATACAGAAAACGCCCCCGCAGATTTGCCTACAGGACTCTTTTATGGAGGCATTTTCTCAGTTTAGAATCCCTTTTTCCAGGTATGTCTGAGGTTGTGTGAAGCTGACAAAACTAACCAGGGCACATTGTTAGCTACAGACATTTGCAATAAAAAATAAAAAATAAAAGGAAAAAGCTTTGTAGTCCTTATCAAATCCCAGCAGTGAACAAGCCCTAAGGAAGCACTCAGAGTGCTGGTGTTTGTCTTGTCCCCCAGAATATTCAAAGGATTTTTTTTTCGGTGGCAGCGTTTTATCAGTTTAAAGGTAGATGAATTCTTACAGATTATGTGAGAAAATATAGACCTTTTGTCTTAGAAGAAAATACTTTAGGGTATTGGAATCTGAAATGTCCCAAATTTAAGGTTTATAAAGTTAATTACTTTTATTTGCAATGTTAGTTCATTTCACTTAAATCAAGATGTCCTCTGTCAATGGTGATTGGTTGTCCCTAGCTAGCCTAAGAAGCCAGGAATATGACCCCACCTCTGGTTTGTGATTTAGCCGTTTAAAGTTTGAGCTTCTTTTACCAGTGAAGAAATCATTAGATAAAGAAGTTAGGTGACTCATAAATTCTATAATTTTCACTTATGGAAAGTATAAGTTTAGCATTTTAAAGGAGACAGTATCAACATTACAGAAGAGCATCCTGTCTTCTCATGTATTACTACCAGACTAGACCATCCCTGCCAAGAATCTTTGTACTCTTAGAAATGAAGGATTTGCTTAGACAATGACTTAGATTTAGTATATGTTCTCTTGTTGTAAGTTGTTTCTCAGAAGAAGAAAAAAGGAAAAGAAAAAAAAAAAGATACAGTGGACCGAGATTTAACAGATTCCCTTAATTTCATTGACCATGCTCAATAAGTGGTATGGCCCAATGCGAACTAGATGTGCAAGGGAGAAGGATTAGACTTATCAAGAGTAAATGCAATGCCTCTACAGTAGACAGGATTTTTGTTTGAAGAAGGAAATAGGTGTCTGCATGCCAAAAGAAGAATGATACAATGGTGGTCCATTATTTATAAAAGATACTACCACATGACTGTTAATACCAACAGTTTAAAGCTTCTAGATTGAGATAACCTCCTAGGAAGTGTTTGGATTAAACAAAATGTCTGACATTCAATGCAAAAAACAATTCACACCAGTAGGAGAAGGAATGTGGAATTAGTAGTTAATCACTCGCCTTTGGGCTTTGTCTCCATAACCACACTAAGAAAAAGATATATTACACTAGTCAAAATCATAATCTGAATCACAATAGAAATAGTTTACCTAATTAAGAAGACACTGTTACAACTATATATTTGCCTAGAAAGTATTTTAAAAGCATTTAAGAGTTTTTTTTTTTTAATCTTCATTAAGCTTAGTTTGGTTCTTAGTTTGGTTTAAGTTAATTGACTTGCTATGAGCACATAAGGCAAACTACAATCTTTAAAGAAAGATCATAGTTTAGAAGAGCTCTAATGTACAATGTTCAGCAATTCAGCCTAATTCAACTAAAATTTCAGCTATGATCCTAATTATATAAGTCAATAATGCAATGAAATTTACATTCAGACAGAACTTCAGTAACTTCTTTCTTCCAATACTTGGCCCGAAAGGAGAGTTCTGTGATGGTGAATATTAGAATGGAGAGATGGCCAACTTTCTTAGTTCACATATAGGGTGAACATCAGCATTAACCAAGAAATGTATCCATTGACTTCCCCTGGTAGAGTGTAGCCTCTCAAACCATCCCTTCTTCACTTCCTCTCTGAGTCCTGGTTTGGTCTCTTTCGTAATCTCCTACTTTCTGATACATCAATAGAATGGAAAATTGGATAATATATCACATGCTCACATTCATTCACCTCAAACTACCTTGCTATTAACTCCTCTGCTATTTTCTTTCCTTATGTGTCAAGGGAGAAACACATAGACGACTTTTGGAAACATATACAGGCTATTTTTCCAGAATCAATGTGTACATGCTTGTGAGCAGCTTGGCAAAAATGAACATTCTTGGGTTATTTGTGAGGCAAGTATGACTGTTAGCCATGGGAAACAGCCATCATCACCCAAGTAGGATGATCCTAACTACTACTTTAAAATAACATACTGCCTTTCTAAAAGAGGCTTTAGAAGATTCTGGTTCTCTCCAGGGACAAATGCTACAGGAAAAACAAAAACTAGCTCACATATGAATACCCTAAGAAGCATGAAATGTTATTCCTGTTTAGCTTTGTAATGTAATAGGCTCACATGCAATCCAAATGCAGCCTAAAATGTACAACTAATTATTTGGCTATATTGCTTGCTTTTTATGCTAACCCTGTCTATAGCATTAACTAATAAACTATTCCACTTTTCTACAGTTTGTAAGGTTTTAATCATAATAATACCCCATCTGTACTCTACTTTCAAATGTAGAATTAGCATTTCCATATGAACTAGAATGCAGAGTTGTTAAAACCTCTCCTTGGGATCCCTCCTATCACATCCTCTAATGATTTCATTATAAGTTAGCAATGTTCAGGTACTGTAGTTAAGCTTATGAATATGGCATTATCTTGTGACTTGTCATTGGCGTCTGGTACCTTTAAATTCAACTTTATTCATATGTGCCTCCTTTTCACAGACAGACAAACAAACAAACAAAAATAATCAGCCTCAAGTCAGTGAAATGATATCCAACTACTTCGCCTAGCCCTCCAGTGATATAAAACCCCTAACTCAAATTGTGCACCACAAAAATCAGTCTAACGTTTGTTTTCGGTGTGTGCCATGGTTCATTGTTATCAAATCTGTCGTCTGCTTCTAATAACGTAGATTTTGCTCACTTGTTCTATTTTTGTAGGCACCAGTGCTTGGATGTGTCCCAGTTTTCACAAGGTCTTAGAAATTGCTCAACTGTTGCTTGTATCCCCACATTTCACTTCTGCCCTTGGTTACTCATAAGT